AGCAAGCCAGAGGCGACAGCGGCAAGGAACCAAAAACTCCATCGGTGACAGAATGGAGAAAAAACCTTGGGAGAAACCAGGCTCAGTCGGGGGGCCAGTTCTCCTCTTACCAGACGAAACCAGCAGCTCAATTCCAGGCTGCAGCAATGTCACGTTGTGCAGAGGACTCATCTGGTTCCTGTGGTCTTGTCCCGGTGGTCGTCTGAGACAAGGTCTTTACAGGGGATCTGTATCTGGGGCTCATCTAGTTGTCCTGGTCTCCGCTGTCTTTCAGGGCTGTGGAGGTCCTTTCTAGGTGCTGATCCACCATCTGGTCTGAATACGTACTGGATCCGGGTGACTGCAGTGACCATCTGATCTGGATACAGACTGGATCTGGTGGCTACGGTGACCTCGGAATAAGAGAGAAACAGACTAATATTAGTGTAGATGCCATTCTTCTAACAATGTAGCAAGCACATCGGGTGTTATGAGAAGTGTTCTCGGTGTTGGTTGACCTAATTAATGCAGCCTAAAAATCCTTTAACGGATTTGAATATTAGAAGCATATTAGTGTGTTATGTGTAAGCCAGGTTAAAGAGATGGGTCTTTAATCTAGATTTAAACTGCAAGAGTGTGTCTGCCTCCCGAACAATGTTAGGTAGGTTATTCCAGAGTTTGGGCGCTAAATGGTCAAGTCAAGTTTATTTGTACAGGTCTTTTCACCATACAAATCATTGCAAAGCAACTTTACAGCCAATTAAGTTTCTACAATATTTAGTGGTAGTTTATCATTGGTGACTGACATTAGTCTTGTGTAGTTATGTTCTTATATAACGCCAAGCAGCTATCCTCATTGTCATAAAGCTTATTATTTCCTGACATTATTAGAGGTTGAAATTAGATTGTGTTTCTCACAGTAAAGTCGTACAAAGGCCTACAAGGTTGAACCTCAGTGTCTTGGTAATTTTTTATTTTATTAATGCTAAAATACTTTCTACTACCCCAGTTTAAAAGTGCACTCGTTTTTTTTTTTTGTCATGTTGCGCCAGTTGGTGGCAGTTGTTTTTGATTTACACTGACAGCTAATGGTGTGGAAGCTGCGTGATGCAAAAGCAAATGTTTAGTTTATGATACAATCAACTATTAATTCATTCTACAGGCAAATTCTCACTTTCCAGTGTCTACTGTCATAGGGACATGTGAAAATGATATATATGAAAATTCTGCCATCATTTAATAACTTTCATAACATCCAGTGTTGTTTTGGATCCTATTGACTTAAATTGTATGGATGAAAATGGTCCTTCAAAATATCAGTTCTTTTGTGTTTCAGAAGACATGACATGACATGAAAATTTCTATAATTATGTAGAGGAATATGTATGCGTTTAGGCCTTATTCATTTTAAATCAGCAATTAAACCTTGAGTTAGTACCAACCCTATATACATATGCATTGTAGAAACACTTTGGGGCATTCACTCTCTTTTTCTTAACTTACTTGGTTGAATGCAGAGGTTTGGAATCTACAGATGTCTGTAGAACATTAAATTTTCATGGCCTGCCTTTGCATGTTGGTATAGTTTCTCTCTACACTGCCAATTTAAAATATGGTCATGCACTGCAATAGACCCGCAGAGATTGGTGAAGTCTGCACCCATGGTGAAATGATGCAAACATAGCTCTAACCTGCTTTTTTTTAATGCTGCCTTATTATCTACCCAGGCCGAATCGTGTGAGAAGCATCTTCGTTTGGAATGATTAATGGAATGCATCTATCGTGGGTGTCTCTCGGCTGATCTTACTACATATAATCTCCCATTTTAATACCGACTCTGGTGAGCTGTGACTGTTTGTAAGGTTGTGGTTGTTGTCTTGTTTTCCTGTGCAGAGTGAAAAGGAACGACTTTCTGTAAAGCAGGCTAATACCTTTCATTGGCATTGCAGAATAAAATTCAGAATGATTTTAGAAATGGTAGGTCATCCTTCAATGTCATTAACTTTTTGTAGGTATCCCATTTGAATTTATGAACATATCAAAGTTTAACATTTGCACACTAACTGCAGTTTGAAAGCAGCTGGGTGGTAAAACAACAGCCTGTTTGTACTATCCATTGAGAACATCATAGATTCAGGATTATTGAGGCTGTTCTGTGATATTCCAGTGTAACAGTATTTATATACTATACTCACCCGGGCTGCATTTATTTGATCAAAAATACAGTAAAACACTAAATATTGTGAAATATTATTACAATTTAAAATAACTCTTTTCTATTTGAATATATTTTAAAATGATGGTAAAGATACATTTTCAGCAGTCATTACTCCAGTCTTTAGTGTCACATGATAAAATAACATGGACTGACTCGAGAATTGGCTGTATTGTAAAAAGTAGTCTCTATATAACAGGTTTAAGGAAGAGGCTATAAAACACTGTAAGAGGGCTTGGTGACATCAACCAGGAAAGTAATTTTAGGTGGAGCAAGTTATTACATTTTGATGAAAGAAGGCATATGCACCAAGGATCGTTTACAATAAGACCTGGAATGTGCAGTAAGAAAGTAAAGATCCATTTTGAAACCATGTTGACTGTAATCATAGTGATGAATAGGGCAATTAAGAGTGTATTGGAGATATCTGGGATGCTGCATTGCTGGGTTTAAGGGTTTAAGATGAAAACTGATGTGAATCTTTCTGAGAAAAGGTTTTTTAGTAACTGCTGAACTGTTTTCTAACCAAAACTGTGGTCGACATCACAGCAAAGTGCAGAATGATAGTGGCAGTGAACAAGAAAGAGAGGAGCAGATCATGGATGATGCCTTTTCTAAGTGTGTGAGCTAACTTTTCACCTTTGATCTAAATTGCATTGCATTATGAATGATGTGGTGCTGACTGAGTTTATGGCTGACTTATCTGAACATAACTTCAGACCTGAAACCATGCCAGTGGAAAGCAAATGGTGGCCAATAAACAGCCAAAAACAGCCTGAAACCTGCATGCTGTAGAACAACGACAGTTATCGAATCCAGTTAATACTAATGCAAAGAAAATTAGTTTAGCACTTTATCTCACAATTTGGATATTTTATCCTCTCAATTCTGCAGTTTGTGAGATAAAAACTCAGAAATGTGATAAACTTGGTAATGCAAGAAAAAAAGTCAAGAAAAATGACTTTCCATTTACTCTTCGTCTTACTCCTTGTTATTTATTTATTTATTTATTTTTTGTCCTTCATTATGATAGGACTCTAAGAGCTTGGGCTGTGCCTTCTCACCTCCCTCGGATAAAGGCAAATTAGCAATTTCTCCAAGGACTTTAAATGGCTGCCAGCAAACCTGCGATAGTCCCAGAGTGCTGCTCCCCCTGGTCTCAGGTAGTGTTATCAGGCATGCATCATTTCCTCTCAAGGCTAAGTGTTTCTGTGCTCCTCCAGAACTTTTCCACAAGTGAGTGTGTTAAAATGCCTGGGAGATTGGCTCACATTCTCTGCTTATATTAGAGCAATTTATCAAAGGATTGCATGGAAAATGTTCATACTTGTGCTAAGTTATTTGGTAAGCATTATTTCCTCTGGGAATTTGTGTGTTATAGTATTACAAGGCGAAAAGTTTAAGTTAACAATATTTTCATTCTTTCCACATGATGAGATTTTGTAGAGGATTCAGCAGCCTGTTTATTGGAGCCTGTAGTATTGATTATGGCCTACTGAGTTAAAAGCCAAATTCATCAGATTAATTCTAACAAACTAGCAAGATAACCATAATTTCCACCAAATACCATCCTATGAAAATATTCCAAAGCGATACATTAGGGGTCAGAATATCACATAGACTTGTAAATGGGGTATTTTGATCCTGATCAGGAAGCAATTGCCTAGCAACAACAGGAAGGGTTGTTATCAAGCAACCTCTTTACAAAAAACACAAACTTAAGTCTTCTCTTGACTTTGGAGTGGCAGACCATTCTTTAATTAAATGTAAAAGGCTTTTACCTAATGCTGATGTTTTCCCTAGTGTCAAGGAACTTTTAAGATCTGGTGTTTGGATCAAAGCCACTAAGGTCAAGTATTTAACTCTAAAAGCTGATTTAAAGAGCACATAAATGTTGCTTTTAACTTATTTAGTACAGTAAGAACAGAGTCTGCTTAAAAAAAATATATGACTTTACCAAGTTTATAGCTAGGAATTTAGTCCTACTTGCCTCATACCGAAATTATATCCTTTACCATAATCTCTCCAGTGAAACCAATAGGGCTGTCCCTGACTAAAGATTTTTCTAGTTGACTATAGTCATTCATTTAAGCCATTAGTCAACTATTCGCACATTTATATTAATTTAATTACTTAAATATATTCTTGGGGTGCCTTTAATATGTAGTCTATTTCGATGCTGTCTCGCCATCTCCACAGTACAGTGGGCGTGGCTTTAGAGAACAATGCACCTTTAATATGGACTACATAAGAGTTTTTGTATTTGATTTGAATCAGTTCGTTTAAAAGTTGACATTTCAAGCTTT